CCCCCCCCCCCCCCGCCCCCCATCGAAGGTACCACCACACGACATCCATGCTTCTGTCAAACGTGTATCACTTCCTTTAAGGGGAAGGGTCAAACCAACATGCTTGTGTTTTCTTATCTATGCGGTTGTTCACATTCACTTCCAGAATAAATTGCATCACAATTTGTAGTTTTTTCACCTCCTCTTTCTGCCGCGTGCATGCCAGGTTTCCAAAGACCCTTGACGTGGTCGAGCCTTGCGTCGACGCCCTCATCGCCGTCGGGAAGTCTGGTGAGTGTGTGGTCGTCGATATGTCTGTACCGTAGGTTGCGGTAAGAAACCGTGCCCCCTGGACCGATTTTGAAGCGAGACTACTCCATGGCGAAGAGGATGCCAGAAAGACATGATGGATGTTTTCGGAAAGCTCTATAGACGAGAAGGTCACAACGTCGCCGCTATAGGCACCGTCACCGCTTATTGTGTAGAGTTATCATGCTTCGAGAAATCGGTCAGGCGGGGTGTGGTTATCTTTTACCTCCTGCGGTACTGTTCGTCTTTGGTGTGTGTGTTTGTGTGTGCTGTGCTCTTCGATGGCGGAGGAGCGTACACGGTTAGCCGAGGAGATCGGCTTCGTCGTCAATATGGCACGAGACAAGGCACCAAATCGCTCTCGAAGGTTTCGGAAAGAGTGATTTTTGATTCGTGTGGATATCACACACGCCCCAGATAGAACTGCGTGTGTGTGTTGTGCGGGGGTAACGTGAACGTCATGCATCTTTCGCCGAAACCACCGTGCTGCTCGTGTACTTTTTGGCACTATCCTTTGCGCTCTCTTCTGCCAAGCGGCGACACAGGCCGTGCTGGAGAGTACGTGCGTGTTCAAGCTGGTCAAGGCCATGAAAACCTTCGCCAACACCCGGTCCCTTCAATGGAAGGTATTTAGGGCGGGAATGTAGGCTCCGCTCTCACGATAAGGCTCGGAATGCTTCGCCGCCGGGATGTGTTACCGATCGCATATTTTTCTGCCACTGCTAGGCACCAAACTGTTGTTGCTACGTGTGTCTCGTGCTAGTACTAGCGGCCGGGTCGTATGGCCGAGTCTCCCCCCCCCCCCCCTCTACCGCTTTTCAACGGACCAACGAGACAAGGTCATCCGCAGTCTACTCGGAGAAAGCATGTCTCAGGGGTGCGAAAGCCATACCCTGTAGACATGATACAATGTCTATGTTTCGCGTAACGGTGGTGGCGTCTTCGAAACCTCAGACATGAGTTTCACGTGTTCTTCGGCGAACGCTGTGTTTGTAGCTTCAGACTCTTACGTAGCGAAGCTGTCTGTCGTCGTTGTTTCCTTCGAAACAAACAACAGCTCGTTTGTCGCAGCATGAACAGCCGAACACACTCATTTTGTGGTCGCCTAATAGTCTGTATGCCGGTTGCGTGTGCAGGGCCTCTTGGCCATCATCCACTTCGCGAAGAAGGACGAGGTGTGCTTCGACCTTGGCAAGGCGGGCGTGATCCCGCTGCTGGTGGCGATGTGGCCGCAATGGGACGACGACGAGATGCGCCAGCTCCTCCTGTGGGCCTTCAACGAGGTCGCGCGAATAGGTACTTTATTTTTTGTGGCTGTCGCTACCGTACACAGTAGAACGCATTTGTTGTCGTTGCTGTCGTGGTTGTCGTGGCTATCGTCGTGCTGTTGCTGTTCCTTGGCACCGTTCTAACGTTTGCCGAGCACCTCTGTGGTCCGCGCGACGGTACTACAGTAGCTCGATTAACCTCGGAGAAAAGATTTTCCGCGGTGTGGGAATGGCCTAGAGGAGGGAGGGATGGTCCCAGTGTCGAAAAGATGAGACTAGGGACGAAAAACATCAAGAAACCTTCTGCCATACAGCAGCACCAGGTAGGCGTGACTCGTACGTAGACCACGAACTCACGGACATACGGTTTATTGTGCGAGTGTACTGCAGGATGCGGGTTCGCAGTTATTCGGTGATGACATTCGTTTGTCATTTTCACCGGCGATTTTTCCGTGAGGAGAGCTCGTTTGGAACGCGCTTTTCCTTCCTCTTCGACAGAACTATGAAGAAGTTAGTCTCTCTCCAACTTTGACGTAGACGAGGGAAAGGGATGCGGAGTTTATCTCGCGAGAAGAGGAGGTGCAGAAGAAAAGCACCGCAGCAGAGTAGCTCATGACCGACCGCCGCTGGTACGCCCAACGTTTTTTCCGAGCGGTGGTTGCTTCTATATAGCGCCAGCGAGAGAGGGGGTCGAGAGCAGCCACCCCCCTCCCCCTCCCGCTCGCTTGCCGGTGCCCCCTTTGTTTCTCTGAGAATAGACGAGAAACGGTGGCCGGGGGCGGGGGCAAGGTTTGTCGAGCGGGTTCGTTCCTCTTGCCCACTCGTAGTACAACAGTGAACAGTAGTACGGTAGTACCGTTAGCCCCAATGCACACACTCTTCACCCTGCCCCACTCGCGGGTGGCCACTCGCCCATATGACAACCAACGCATCACCACCATTTAACCACATGACGACAACCCGCCGTCTCTCGAAATTTCACACACACACGCGCGCAAATCAAGAGACCAACCAGCTGCGCATGTCGGTGGAACGGGTCGGCGCCTTGCTCCGAGAAGCGATGGAGCCGGCCCCGGCGCGCCTTGCCGTGACGGGAGCAATGGTCACCGCGGAGCAGGTCGGGCACTACTGCGTGCCCGTCAAGCTGAAGAGGCTCTATCGGGAGCGGAAACTCGGCAGCCCCTTCGCCAAGGGGGACGAGGAAGCGAACAGGTGATACATAATGCTAACGGCCGCGTGTTTGAAAGGATAAAGAAGTGACTGTAAAAGACCTTTTCAACGTGCGCTACAGGTAGGTGCGACTGGCATTGTGACCGCGAAGCGACCGTGTGGCGGGTACAACATCCTACTACGTGTGTTTCATGCGGAAAGGAAGGGTGAAGGCGGAAAATACAGGTTCACAAAGTTTTTCTGCATCTATCTCTTGTTGTTGTTGTTGTTGTTGTTGTTGTTGTTGTTGTTGTTGTTGTTGTTGTTGTGGTTGCTGTTGTTGTCGTCGTCGTCGTCGTTCGACGCTTTTTTAAGTTGTTCCGTCCTTTGGCCTGCAATATATTATCTCCTGTTCGATATCATCGTCACTCCATCACGCCTGGTCTTCCATTGCAAGGGGCCCGCAATGAACGGGAATATCCGTGTCGCTGTGGATGAGGACGATTATTGCATATACCGAGCGAGGCGGCCTCGCTCACATCAAGCATACACACCGCGAACAACGACGACAAAGATCAAAGAAAATATTCCTACAATATCGGTCGTCGTTTGGATGCAACGCGTCGGTCAGACGAGACGAAGGATTGAATCGTCCTAATCGAAACATATCATCATCAACACCACCCCTTCCTCTCTCTCTATATATATCATCGGCCGTCTGCTGCGTCCACCAGGGAGAACGAGAAAAACGCCGCTGCTCTCGCCAGACCTCTAACCAAGGCGCAGTTTGGCAAGGCCGGCGATGGTTGGAAAGAAGGCGAACATGGGCTGCTTTAAGAGAAAAAAAAAAAAATCCACGTAATATAGCAAGGAGAAAGGCGTCCCAACCAACCAGGGCGGCAGCAGCAACAGCAACAGTAGGGAGAGAATGGCCAGGGTTAAGGGTAGGCTGGCTTGTGTCAAAATAATCCGCCGGCGAGAGGCAGTGAAAGCGACCGCGGGCGGGCTAAAACGGAACCGGAAACAAACAAAGCCGGGGGGGGGGCACTTGCGTCATAAACTATGGCAAATGAATGAGGACTATTAAAACGCGCTTGGAAAAGACAACACGAGGATTACATGTACGTACGTAAGGAATGACTAGGGGCCGGACGCTGTGTGCGTGAGGGTGAAAAGAACCAACTAATCAACCAAGTCGCGGCGACGGGGGCGAAGGCGCAGAAAGACTGATTGATCGAATGAGCTTGGTGTGCAAGTGTAAGTATTGATACATGCGCGATTTCGTGTTCTTTGAACAGAGGAAATAAAATACCAGCGATAATAAAAAAAAAAATGATTGATTGGAGAGAGAGAGATCTGACAGAAAGAGGGTGGTGTCGTCTCTCGCCCTTCCACAGAAGAAGAAGAGGCGCGGTGTTCACCAGCCATCATCCTCAATCAATCGTGAAGTCACGCACACGACCACCGGTCGGCGTGACGACGACGACAACAAGCGCCCCGCATGAGTAACACGCGAGAAAAGAAAAGAAAAACGGAAAACAAACGTGGGCGCGACAAACATGGAACGAAAATATCATTTGCATGACACAACGACGTGTGTCATACAAGCATATTTCGTATTGAAACAAAAAAAGTAGATGTATATCACATGGTTCTTCGTCATCCACATCCAGTAGTAAAATACAGAGAAACCTCCTCCCCTTCACAACCCTCTACTTGCCCTTGTAATTCAAATAGAATGTCTACTTCCGCCTCCACGCCCATATACCTATGACCCCCCTACTCGTACTTACTCCTACTTGGTGGACGCCGCGGGATGGAGATTCAAGACCATGCGCATGCATGGATGTGAAGAAGCGGCTTCCGGACAACAACTGGAACGCACCCATCAGCACGCACTGCAAGTGGCGCACCTGCTGACGCAACAAGAGCGTATGGACAGAATGACGCTCGCCAAGATTTGCCCCCCCCCCCCCCCCGCTGGGTGAAGAAGTGTAATGCAACGGACGCATTTCCCTGACTGCCGTATCGACACACTAGCTGGAATCCAAACTCCGGGGGGCACAGCGACTCCTTTTCGATACAATGCA